AACAGAAAGGTGATGCTGTTTTCTTATACCTTATCTGTATTTATGGGAGCTGCAGTGATGCGCCTTAAAAAAAAAGGTACAGCTTTCGGCGTTGATCAGTCGCCTAGAGATGCGCCATGCATTCGACTTCATTATGCATCGTTCGGAGGTGACTGAATGCTTATCTGACCTTTACGATGGCGTGCGGTAGCCTAGTGGCCTACCAATGCATCGAGCCAGTGCTGCTATCCTCCCGGACAAGTCTAGTACCAATCTGCTGAACCCAGAGGGATGGAAGCCTTGGTGGACCGTGAGGACATGGACGCGGAAATCGATCCCATATGTATTGCAGAGCGTCAACGAGCACTGCGCCACACGAGCCCCTCATGATTCAATTTAAGAACCAGTTATTTCTACGCTTAGGTGTTCGGTCTTTGCTTTCGATGTTCGATGACCAGATCTTAAAACGCGATACTAATCAATACATTTTTAAGCGATCATGTGTTATTGTTTGCATTTCGAAACCTCAATAAGAATATTTTATTTCATTTGAGTCCTTTAATATATAATATACGCTCGTTAATTCTTTCATGAGCGCGTTATATGAACTGTAACAAAATTTTTTCTCGAACACCAAACTACCATCACCTAATGTATAGGTGACCCAGCCAGTGATGGGAATGCTATGATGTACGTTTTGTCTCATAACTGAGTAAATCAGTCTCTTCCGTGTGGCGAACCATTCATTCCGTCCTAGTCGATCCTGTGCACTACTGTCGTGCACACCACTTGACCCGACTCGTCGCTGCTCTGGAGAAGGTGAAGGCGCCGAGGAAAAAAGTACCGTAAACTCCAGAACATATCCCGTTTCTGAAATTCAGTATTCCTCTACTAACTTTCTGTTTTAAATTGAGTTGAATCCTTCAGTATATGAAAAAGTTCCGAGATTAGTTGGGCTGTACGCGATCAGCGAGATAAATAAAAGCGTGGTGTAAGGATGAATGGCCTGCTGACGATTACCATAGACATGAAAAACTTCTCCAAAAATTCTAAAGGAGTTAAATGTTGTGCCGTACTGGAAGCGGTGAGAGGTTAAGGTACAGTTAAAAGTGAACTAGTGTTTGGACGAGAAAAAGAAATTTGTTGAAATGTGGAATAGCCTTGTATCATTCATTTCACCACTCATTGTTATTGTTTAGAAGCACTGGCTGCCGTCCGTTTTAGCGCCACTAACTTTTATTGCTCTCCATAATTTCAGCTGTTATAAACTGAGATGTGATTTGCAAAACTTCGGATCGCAGGTGTCCGCGGTGGGGAATGAACGAGCTATTACCCTTTACGGGGCTAACGCGTTCACCACCACACGATGCGGGTCCGTTTCGCCTTTCTCGCAACAGTATTATTGACGTATAGGCGCTATAAGTAATCACCCATCAATGGGATGCATCTGGGAAGCACAAATCGGTCTGTTAAACGTTAGGCCTTGGGAACGGTAATAGCGTGTTCGCTTCCACCACAGACACCTGCGGTCCGGAGTTTTGCAAATATATCAGCTTCATTGTGGTGGTATTTTACACAATACTCTGCCGTGAAAATCTGTGCTAGGTAGTAAATAAAAACTTAATACTGAGACGTGGTTGTTGGAAAAACCCACCACCTGATAAGTGTTTAAAAAAAGTAACACTTTATAAAAATATTTCGCATTATTTTTTAGTATGAATAAGCCACTACGCCGATATGAAGCCGATCGCAAAGGATTTTTCAGCTTACACGTGGTGACAGGGTCCTGTTTAGCTCAGTAGTGAGATGTGCCCTGTGAGATTGCTCACCGATCGCTCGATCTCTCGTCCCGCGCACAACAAGACTTCCATCCCTCCGGGGTCGGCAGATTGCTACCAGACTTGTCTGGGAGGATAGCAGCACCAACTTGAGAAATAGGTAGGTTACCGCAAGTGTAGTCCAGATATGCGTTCAATTAGCTTTAACAGTGCTTGGTGAACTTGAATGCTTGGCGTATCCCTCAGGTATGGATCAACACCGAGAGCGTCATCCTTTTTATGCTTCACATGGGCTATGATATGGCATTTTTGGCTCTGAACTTGCTTTGTTTGACTGAAGAAACCAGCTAGCTTACTTGTTTTGGTGATCATTCATTGTTCTCTAATTATGTCGGGGAAATGAAAATCACGTAAATAAAAGCGTCATTTAAAACTAAATTAAATTTAAATATGTTCTTATCTCCATTCAAGTTCTTCAGTTGAGACGTGTCAGGAGAAGAAAAGACACGAATACACTGTTGACGACTATCTAGAATGGGAGCACAATGAATTCCTGCGGCATCTTCGGATTGCGTGAGTTTTCGAATTATGAGATTTCAGATTTCTTCTAGATTTTTTCACATGAGCATATCTTTATCTTATAAATTTTCATCCATTTGTTATCCAGCGAAGGTCGGACACATTGCCAACCATGCGTATTGATTGAAATGAAATGACCAAAAATAACTTGGTTTTTTAATTTCAAAAGCATTCGCCTCAGTCCTATCGAACTTTAGTTATATCGTGTCATTGTGAGTTTACGCCAACTGAAGTTGAGGCTTTTTTTGAAGCCCAGTTATTATTAGTTAGTATCGCGGAAGAGCCAAGAGCACTAGCCATTTACGGAAAAAAAATCTTAAAGTAGTGAAGAAGACAGTGGAAAAGCGTCCATATGAGAAGGATCTAGCACTTCACGCGGCCGTCGAAGGAGCGAAAAGGAGGAGGCTGTTCTGCCCCGCGACACGATGGAGCAGGCTTTACTGGTACTGTCTCTGGCAAAAATATGCGTTTCCTCTGTATCTGTAGTCCACAAATCGTTTCCTTTTCGTCGAGGCTCGTACTTTTAACATCGAAACGAGCGGAACTTTGTTCAGAGGGACAACATGGTTTTCGACGAAACATTGTGGACATATCACGCGCTTCCGTGAAGAGCTTTAAAGTAAGTTTAGCGTTGTCTCAAGTAATGAGCTCAACTAGAACTCTAGTTGTCGACATTTCTTGAGAAACACATGCAGCTGCGAATGTGTTAGCGATAAATTATTATTTTATCACAGAAATCTTATATTTCGCTGAATAACTAAACATTTACTGTAACCATCGCTTTCACAGATTTCTTCCGGATACAGTAGATGGAGACTTCAGAACTGCATTGGTTAGTGGTGTGGCGGATATTGTGCCTAGTCTATTCACAGTACCAGTACGGCCAAGTGGTCACTGTCGTCGACGTAATGCCACAATGGATGTTGTGGAACGGGTTCATGTGTACACAACTTTCGAAGATCTCCTAATAGACTTGTTAGTTCATAACTATCTTTTGCCACATTTACAGTTATGAGGTATAAGTTGAGCTGTACTAAGAATCACAACTATAAGGATCATGTAGAACTAATCTTTGCCATCTTTTCTTTAAATCGTTGTCATTGGATGACCCGTCTCCACTGGTTTTGGGAGCGTCAGCTTAAATTCCATTGTTTCGGAGTTTTGCTCGTTTTGCCATTGTGGTCTTTTGGAGTCCCAATGTCAGCCAGGCCAAGGTTTGCCTAAGGTCGTCACCACCTCAGGCAATCGCCGCTCTAGTGGATCAGAGAAAGGCTTGCCACCTGGCGACTAGTTTGGTACCAGGAAGGTGGGGGATCCTGGTGTTGGTTACTCTTAACTGGGTTTCCTGATGGAATGGCCGGTTTCGTTCTCAGGTTGGGTGGGAGACCATGTTGGTGGGATGAATACGCTTGCTGTACATCACAGCCCAACACCCAGGAACACCCGAGCCACGATGAGGCGGTAAACCGTTAGGAAGAAGTTTGACGCAATTTAACCAAATTATAAACAACTGAAATTAATGCTTTTTCAGAGTATTATCGTCGAAAATTGCTGAAGGAGCGTTAGGCCCTTCGTAACAGTCGTTTTAAACGCCACCGCAACGTCACTGGACCAACTATTATTCAGTATCTTTACTTATTTCTTGATGGTCATATCTAACACGTTTTCAACTGAGATTGTACGGTGAGAGTAGTTTCTCCCTATAAATTGTAATTTATTGTCAATAACGTACGACCTTCTCAGCCTAATATTACCAAATAATATTGATCCTTCTTTAAGTTATTGGATGGGACTTCCCTATAACTCACAACCCGAAAGTTATGAAAATCCCTCGAGGGATTTAAGTTATATAACGCATCTCCTTGCCCTAATCGCTTCTTCACTTCTTTGTATTCGTTTGGAATATGGCAATAAGGAATAACAAATACCTCTTACGTCATAGTACTTCTTGTTGCTGTCCACTATTTTTTGTTGCATGTGCTGAAGGAAGAAGTTCCAAAGCATAATAGCTTGTTATGCTTGTTAAAAACGGATCTTACCCATACTGCCTGCTTAAATGCTACCAGTCTATGTGTCTTTTATCTATCTTTTCACTTCTAGGGGATGCTCTAGGCTATGTCCGATGTTTATTCTGTATGAATTTCATGTTTAATACATTTGTTAAACATAATTTTTTAACGTGTTATGGAGAAATTAATGAGTATTTACAAAAGATGGCTTCGTTGGCCGAGAACTCAAACTTCAGTTGGACAGAAAATATACCAGGCTAATTGAAGACAAACCTAAACCACTTTCTTTATTTACTTATTGACGTCGAAACGCTGCTGTAGCAGACGTAGCTATGAACATTGGCCAAGTAATATGTGAACACCTTCCTCTTCAAACTTCATAAGTCATTTAAAATCGGGTAGTGGTTATTTCACGGTTTAATATTAATTGTATGAAGTGTCCTCAACATGTGCAGACAGAGGCACTACATCTCAGGATCACAATGAACAGAGGAACTGCCTGGTTATGGTCTTGGAACAATCCCGTTTACGTAAAAAAAAAAAAACGAACAGAGATAAACGAACAACGAGGCACATAAGACAAGACGATCTCATAGATGAATGCTATGAAAAATCAATGTCTAATTCGAGCAATGTGTGAGAGCTTGAAGAAAGACTACTCCTTGACTGGAGCCTTCTCGGTCTCGAAAGGAGCTGTAAGTCGCACTTCACCACAATCAGCAATTACGACGTCCTCTTTAGGTCGGTCTTCTGGCTGTAAAAAATTAGCAAGGTGGTTCTTGAAGTAAAGGTTGAGGTGCATAATGAATCATATCGGCCCTGTGCGGTACTCATTATTTTCGAATGTTTCTTTTGTTGCCAAAAGATTTTTCGTTATATCCTCTATATTAAATCAGTAATTTCCTTAGTTATAATCAGTGTGGTCCGGAAAAAAAACATCTACCTATACATAAAGGCTTATGTAAAATGGTAACGAGGACTAGATTGTTCACCTAATCGTTGCGTGGTCACGCTGCTTTCACAGAGTAACACACAGAGGGCTCCCAGTAAAAAAGCATTACTAAGATGGCAGTGCTGAATAGATACGAATGCACGACATTATGTGAGATATAGATTCCCTTACATAAAGACAGGCTGTAGCGCAGTGGTCGGAGGCGCCCTGCAACGCACATGGGATCGATCCCAATGCCCCTGCTCCACCAAACCTTCCATCCCTCCGAGGTGGGCAAATTGGTACCATACTTGTCTGGGAGGATAGCATAACAGCACTGCCTCGATACATCGGTGTGCCACTGCGAGTCGTTGTAAAGACCAGATGTGCGTTCAGTCGCTACTAGCGATGCTTAATGCAGTCTAATGCATGGCGCATCCTTCAGGGACTGATCAACGCAGAGAGCTTTATTCATCATCCTTTATCCTTACCAGCTGGATTAAGTGGGTAATTGTCGTTCATGTTATGCTGCAATGGATGCTGAAGAATGCGTGCATGTGTATACAACCTTTGAAGATTTCTCAATAGATTTTTAGTCACAAAAAGTAAGAGAATGTTGGTGATAACAATGATGTACACGGTGAACCATCAGGCGCAATGCCATGTCGCTCTTTTAGAAAAGCAAACTATTCATAAACGGGGTTTAATAAACCACAAATAGACTAAGATGAATTAAGCTCAGAAATAAATAAATGTGAACGAAAAACAATAAGAATAAGATATGTATTGCACCCACAGTGGTTTCCGTGTTTTCAATCTTGCGAACGACGCTCATCCCTTCAAGAACCTTCCCAAAGACGACGTGACGTCCGTCGAGCCACGACGGTTTCACCTAAACGAAAAGTGCAATAGCCATCCTCTGTACCATTGCGCATATCATCCGGATCGCTTTATTAACTCCTCCTTTAAAACATAAAAGACTTGAAAGCGGAGAGCTCTCACTCTTCGCGCGAACAGTGGGTCCAGGAACTCAACTGTGACGGTGCTTGCAAAAGCCTATTTTCATAAGTGAAATCAAAGATACTCTATGAACTTACGGTGCAGATAAAGAACTGAGATCCATTCGAGTCACTACCAGAGTTGGCCATTGAAACCCACCCAGGTCCATAATGTTGGAGGTCGAAATTTTCATCGTCGAATCGATCACCATAGATCGACTTACCACCAGTACCATCTCCGCGAGTGAAGTCTCCTCCTGAAGGAAGAAAAGGAAAGACTATGTAAGAAGATGGTGTCGAGATTCGGTTGTATTGATGTGGAAGGAACACTGAACGCCTTAGCGTATAGCAATACCTTGAATCATAAAGTTTTTAATCACTCGATGGAATTTGCTGCCTTTATATCCAAATCCCTTTGCTCCAGTTGCAAGCTTATAGAAATTCTCGGCAGTGATCGGAACGACGTCGCCGAACAATCCAATAACAATTCGACCAGCCTCAAAACGACCCGTATTGTTATGTTTCATTCAACTTTTATTTACTACCCATTTTTCTTTTCATGTGAAGTGTACTATGTGCAATACAACCACAAGGATGCTGACATATGGGCAAAACCTGGAACCTCTGGTATCATCTCCAGGGGTGAACTAACTAAGAGAAAAGCAAAGTAAAGGCCACAGTGGCGCAGTGGATAACATGTGAGCCTCCGGAGAGAGTAATCGCGAGTTCGAAACATCACCTGGTGATCCCAGTTTTGCTCGCATCTCAGCGCCCTTGTGGCTGCATTTCACGAAATATGAAAACTATTTCGTTAATGTAGCATTTATGGAAACCTGACAAAAAGTAACCACAGTGTGGTGTTGGCAATCTCCCATCAATGGGAATGATCTGGGGCGCAGAAATCGGTGCTGAGCCCACTTAAGCTGAAGCTTTAGTCGAAATCTCAATGTTTCGCTGATCATAGGATTGTTGCATTTCTTCTACGGGGATACATTTTTCAGGAAGCATCAACAGCGACAAAACTAAAAAAAATTGTAAGGAATCATGGAGATACTTCGAGTATAGTTACGAAATGTCAAAACACGTTGCCAAGCTGCCAATGTTTCAAAAATTTTTGCATAGCTATCAACTTTGCGATCCAAAGAAAACCGTCGGATAAACTGGCAAATTCCCTCATCGAATCCGTTTAAAATCCTTCAGTATAACCACAAGCCTTGCTCCACTGGTTCGAATCCCAGCATCGAAAGGTACCCTGGGAATTCGAAGCCCAACCAAGTGACAATTTAATGAACGAACTCACCGGTCTCCCTCCAATGGTGATGTCGAAGTACACCTGTCTAGTGACTGTGACTGTGTCAGCTGCATTAGAGATCTGTAAAAAGCAAATGTATCACCAAGAAAGAATAGAAAGACATAGTGCTAAGCTATGCCAACAGAACACTCACCGAAATGAGACCGAAGAGGCCAAGAACTGCAAGCGCAAACATGCCAACTGAAAAGGAAATTGAAGAAACAGAAAAAACGAAGCAGTCCCAGGCATCGAGGTCAAATCAAATGAATCCAAAGATAAAGGATAAATGGGCCCTTCTAGATCGATAGGAACACTACGACGCCCACCTAGATCGAATTCCGTGCAAAATGAACGATTTCGAGGGAACTCAAACGGTGCATAATATTTCTTTAAAACCTTCAACTGAAAAACATAAATCTAGAAAGATTCAGTAGTAAGGCAGAAGAACATAATCAATGGAAAACCACCCGCAGCAGATTTTGACACAAATACCCCTGAGAGAGCGCCACGCCACCACCATAGGTGCCGCCTAAGGATTGTCGTGTTTACAAATGTAGTAGAATGCTGGTTGAGTCGATTCCCCCACGAGTCGTGAGGTAGTCGAACTGTAGCGTTCCCAATTGGATTGCAGCGAGCGATTGTTTCCCGGACAAATCCGGTACCAGTTTCTCGACCCTGGAGGTATTAGAGGCTTGGTGAGTCTGGAGGTAGATCTAACCATTACGGTGGTAGTGGTGACCGGGATCACCGCCGGTGTGCTATCTGTCCCTTATAAATGCACGTGTAAAGTTTACACGTAAATATAACTTTGACAAAGAAAGCATACAGTGGAACAGCGTGATGTTTTGTAGATTCCAGTTATGGTGAGCGGGATTTCCATGATAACGACCACATTGAACCAAGGACTTTTACTTGGAACGAACAATTAGAAAGAGGTGAAAAAACGGCTTCGATAAGGAAAACGCTGCAGTTTACACAAATGAAGCATGAAATCATTAAACGGCAGAAACTTTGCTTGGTATTTGCCGATGTATTGGAAGAACAAAAGCTAGACTTGTA